ATTCAGTCACTGCCTTGTATCTCTAACTCACATTTACAATAAGCACACATTTTCCTCTTCATCAAATGAAGTAAAAAGAAAAAGAATTTTTACCCCAAATTAAACTCTCACCATCTATCAGTCTGCTGATGTGTCTACGTGAAAAACACATTTGCATTAAGAATTGACTAAATAAAAGTTTTGACTCGCTTTTCAATTAAGTAAACCATTTATTCAAGTATTTCCAACTAAGAAATCTGAGGTTATTTACAGAACTTTATGTTCACTAGTGCAGGTCTGAGCTTCAGTAACTAAAACAGACTCAGACATGACAATACAGAACATGAATATACACTTAATAGATGACACAGTCCAATATTATCTACACCCTATAATCTATTTTTAACACATTCACCCAAATAAAACCAACATATGTGCAAGTAAAAATCAACACAGTGCAACACTACATCGCACAGAAGGTAAGAACCGTTAAAGCCTTTTCACATTGATGTCTTCCCTGAAAAATGAAATTAAAAAATTGAAGAAAGAAAATACCTTGTACAATATTCTCCATAACAGCTTGTTGGGAACACAAGGTGAACCATCACTATATTTGTGAATGTCAAAATGTGTTTGTTTTAGTGAACAGTACACCTCAGGACCACAGTTCTGGTAACGTTTCAGTCAGCACAGCATTTCAAAAGGACAGCAAAGCCTTCACCGCGAGGCCTCTGACTGTAACCCAACGTTGCTCTGATTGTAAACCATCAGTCACCGTGAAACTTCTCACACTTCACACAGGACGATGGGGAAATCTACATGAATGCAGGGGTGGTCGAGCTTCACGATTCCCTGAAAAGTGAGAAGTTTCACATTTGAAAACAGTGCTAATAAAAACATTACATCCCTGCACCCTGCAGCCCAGCTCACCTGAGGAATCAGATTTTTCTGGATCCTCCTCAACTTGGACTTTTTTCTGCCATTTTTCGTCACCACCGTCTCCTCGTAGAATTCATGGGCGAGGTCACCGTCCTCGTCATAGTACAGGGAACTGCCGAGACGGCAAGCAAACGTCAAAAATACTGCTTTTTAACAGGTTTATCCAAAATAAGACAAACACTTGTATCTGATTAGATCCACATTTGCTACAGTGAAAAAAAAGTGAGACGTTTGCCAACCTCAAAATAATAACATATAATCTGAAATTTTAATTTGTACAGAACGATACTTAAAAAAAGAAAATTGTTAAACTACGACTACTTTGCTATGACCATTTTTGTGAAGAAAACAACTTTGGACATCCCTGTAGAATAAATGTTTAACATTAAAGGGTATTTATCAGTAATGCTGTCAAGACTAGGGTTGGGCATAATCGTATCGTCTGCAATTAATCATCAGAAAAACATTAATCGATTATTTTTTGGCACTTGAAAATTAATATGATTAATGCCACCAGGCAGATTGACTGGATATTTCCCTGGTTGGTCTGCTCGATGCTCCTCTCCGCTTCAAATATGACGAACATTTTTTTTAAATTCTGTAATTTATTTATCTATCAACACAATTTAAAAATTGATGTATTGCCCGAAGTCTGTAATTTTGACAATTTGGAACAGATTTTTATGAAGAGCAAAT